TTGATAAAACGAAAATTTCGATAAGCCGAATAAATTGTTCCTTCCCCCCACCTTCGGCTTATCGAGTTTCACTTGTATTAATGCACAAAAGTCACGTGCCTGCATTTACGGAGAATATTTTCATATTGAAATGGGATTATGAAATCAGTTGCACGTGCAGAATAGGGAGTTGACTATTTTCCCCAATCTTTGGCAATTGTGCAGAATAAACATCATTTTATCACATGTGTTATACGATTCTTCTTTTGACAGTGACACATGACTACATATGACGGTAACCAAACGTTATGAAGCAATGCAGTAAGTTGTTGCGTGGTAAGATTCAGTGTATATGAACGATATAATATAAAGACGTAATACAAGTGGTAGTATCACAAGCAAGTTACTTGCGCTTATAATTTTATTATTCCTTATGCTAAAACTTACAACGTTAAATAGCATATATTAATAGCAAACTCAGTTGTTTATACGCAAGTAGGGTTGATATTGTAATGCCAATAAATAATTTTATAATGTTGTTTCTGGTTGTCTTTACTGTTTCAATCTGACATATGTGTTCATTCGAAATGGACATTTCCTTCCGATGAAATTAATTCAGAAGCCTATAAGTTGGGATATACTTGTACTTACTCAAGCAAATAACGAGTGCGCTGCCACACGAATATCCGCAGGAACCAAGAGATCGATAATGTATTGTTAATGGTAAATGACAATATCGAATAATTTATCAAAAACGAATCATGAACAATGTGTTTCAGAGTATAATAGACTATTCGTTTATTTAAAAAAAGCATTATGTGAATAGAAACAAAATTGTCTCAAACACGGAGCCAAGATTAAAAATAATCAAATTCCTTTTGTACCTGATTTTAGTAACGAATACAAAACCCATATTAAGGGTCGTGTATATGATGGATTAATTGTATCGAACATTGGGTTTGCTTCTTACACTGTATTCCAATCAAACTGCTGCCTATATTTAACTATGTACCACGGCTCATACTGTGCTGCAGTGTAGGAGGAGACACACAGTCTGGAGTTACGCGGAAATATAACTGCACTAAACTTTCTAGATGTTAGTATGAATAAACACTAAAAACCCCATTTAAAGGTAACAAAGCTTTGTGGCTTGCGTATAATGAAATAATTAAAAAGACAACAACAAAATACTAAGTAGAGCAGGTTATTATGCACAAGTAAACTGATGAATATCAAAATTTAGGCTTTATTACGGAAGCCCATTTAGGGATAATCTTTGAACTATTATTAGCCTTTCAATCATCGTGCATAGATCTACCAATCATCAGCCCTCATAATATTGTTTCTATTTTAATTCGTTAACTTAATCTTTTCCCCGGTTAGCGCTCTCCTTTTTTGACATGGTATGAAATATTATTTAGAAAACCAGTTTTCCTATAAAGACGGCAGAAACGTCGATACGTCTTGACCAGAAAAGTTGATAACAACTCATCGATTACCATAAAACAAACTTCGTAACCATGAACCGCAATTTACTATTCTTTTTCTTTTTCTTGGCTTTGATCTCAGTCATCAACGCTAGCAAAAAAGCAACCAAGTTCGAACCATGTCCGCCAATTAAAGGCAACCCTGTTGATATGGCAGCACTCACGGTATCCGTATCTCCAAATCCTATCGCTTCCCGTAAAGTCGAAACATATACGGTTTCTGGAACTGCGTTAGAGGATATTCCTACAGATGCCGAATTTTCGATCACTTACAATTATCTCATTGGTGGACGCACTATTGGTCTTCCAGATTTTGCTCGTTTTTGCGCAAAGGGCAACAATTGTCCGGTTAAAAAAGGAGACAAGTTTAATCGAACCATTACTGCTAAAGCGCGGAAATTACCCAAGGCATTTAATGCGACACTCGTAATTAATACAATACACGAAACATATGCCTGTGCAGTAGCCACAATCCAAGCATAATTGCCTGAGACTAACAAACAAACTATTCATAACTTTATTATTACATTTTATATCATTATAGGGCAGAAAGAATGTCATACAAATTTATATTATTTCCTGTATTGTCGGTAACTTAGAGATGTTTTGAGTTCAAAATCAAAGGCTTTGAAAGAGTTTGTTTCTCATATAATATAGACACCTTTTTATAATTGATTAACATTGCTCTCTTATTTTCTAAACTCGGCCTAAACGCAAACCTTAGCTAGAATATAAATTTTTGGGAGCTTTGCCCCGTATGGATATTCAACTTTTGAGTAGCAAAAGTGTAAGGTTGTACTTATTATCCAATATGGGACCGATCATTTTTTGTGTGAATAGTAGTATCGTTTATTGTAAACTGTTTATGGTAATTATAACAACAGAATAAATGTAAAAGTTGAAATTTTTTACCATAATTTCAGCGATTATCCATATACCGTAAAAAAATATTTCAGGGTTTGGGACAATTATCGTGACAAAAGGAGATAACTTTCTTGGACTGCCGTTCTCAAGACTTTTTCCGCGGTTAGAAAATTTTCTTTGGTTTAATTAATGGATAAAAATTAAAATAACGCTCCACTTTGAACAACCAGACAAACATTTTGCCATCTCCATTAGTTGATACAAATTGATATGTTGCCTAATTATCGCATATAGTTCAAATGTCTTTTGGCTGTTTTGTACGTTCATTAACGTTAGCTCCGTAACAAGTATACATTAAGCAAGGGGACATTGCTGTCACGCTTTCTCTATGTATTGTCATTAGTAGAGCACAACTTTTTTTTGAAATTATTTTTCAAAAAAACTGTATAATTAAGTGTGCGAAATTATATGTTTTTGGTACACTCTCTCAGTAGCCACAACGTATTTTCTTGTCTTTGAGATCAAACATGCTGAGAAAATTGGTACGTCATTGTAACAAAACTATGTGACAAAATTTTGGAATTCAGTAATTACTCGGGGCAAACATTTTCCAATGTCAAATGTTGTGATATATGTTGTGACTCTACATATTACAACATTATGATTAAACGCCGTCAACTGTGCTTGATTGTACAATTTTTCTCTATTATAAAGGAAAACCAAGACAACGAAGGAAAAGGTCGTAAATTAAACATGACCATGACATTGAATTCGTAAATTTAATTCTATTTTGTAGTTTATATAATTATATTCGATAACAATATAGCATTGGCTGTTTTTTTCCTACAAATTATTGAATTATTTCTTCAATGCAAGTTGCAGCTACTTTCATTCGTGCTAATTTGCTTCCGATTTTTATTAAAGTAGCGAATTACTAGTAGGGTCTCTACAAATCTATGAGATTGTTCATAATTCATTGAATGGTGTAATCTGTTAGAAATATATCACACAACACTTCTTACATTAGTAAGTCGCTTACAAAGGCAGAAGACAGTTTTTTCCAATTATTTTTTCTTCACATTTTATGAGATTTTTTGTTGAGTTTCAACTTACAAAACCGAAAGTAAAATTTATAGTATGTTATTATTTTTAATGTAAAAGGTTTCAAACAGTCGATAATTTTATGACTTAATTTTATAACCCCGACATTGAGACTAGAATCTATGGCAAACCATCATACGTTTTTTGTCGGTTTATTGTAAAGTTTTTTGAATAATAAGCACATTCTAAACGATATTATCAAGACTTTATTCATAGCTAAAACCATAGACTTATTGAAATACTATCATAGTCAATTATATAAAGTAAATTGCATATTCTAGACTCTGGGTTTAAACATTGTTATCTCGTCACGTGTTACACGATTAAAAGCCTTATCACCGAATCTTCAACTTAGAGTCGTAAGTTAAGATGGGAGTTATTTTTGATTATTCCATTCTGACAAATGAGTAGAACCTTATCTTTACTGCTTGATTATCTCATATCGAAGCTGATTATCGTCTAGTGTTTAGATTTGTCTGTCAATACAGTGGTGTTTTTGAAACAATTTCTAATATAGCAAAGCCGATTGCAAAACAAATCTGTTGTGTGTTCTCCATAATCGTAAGAACTTTGTTTATGCATTAACAATATTTGGCCACTAGAATAAAATTAAAGTTTTGTTTCGACTGCTAATTTGAACTTGGGTCAGAAAAACTTTGTTGCGAACGACCTTTGTTAAACCGAACTTTGTATGTTACGCACGGACGAGAATTTACTTCGATTAACAATTTCCCTGGAATACAGTAATTATCGACATTAGGAATTCACCGACTTAACAATTCACAAATTAATGTTTCTTTGACTGTAAACAGTGTAAGTCGGACTATACTTTAGCAATTTGCGGCAGCTGCATACGGCGAAATATCTGCTTCCCTTTTTCGGAGGACAACAGTTTGATATATTCTGTTACAATCTATGCCAGCACTGATAAAGAATCCATTCTGGACAACTCTATTTCGGAATTCAAAAGTTTTAATAGAGTGTAAATATATATTGACTTGTTGTATGTTTATATTAGAACAGCTGCTACAGTAAAACAATGTTTATGAGTTGATTTACCGCAGTAGGTGTAACGTTAATATTGTTCACCTGATCACCGATAATCAGTAACCTAGAAAAAATTGTACTGTACAAAGCATACTGGAGTAATTAATTTGCATAATTTTCTAATTGAACTTTTAAAATCTTATAATCTACCTGTCCGTAGTTACTTGCAACTCATGTGAAGCTGGAAATTTACTACTCATTAGTCACCGATAGTGAACTAGTACCGCGAGGGAAAGGTGAAAAGAACCCCGGAAGGGGAGTGAAATAGAACTTGAAACCATACCACTTACATATGTCATTTCCGCAAACCTAGTTCGATGAATCAATTCAAAAGATATAACAATAGTCTGTGCTTAAAAAAACTCAACGGTTTTAGTTGGGCAAATAATTTGCTTGATAATGCGTTGTTAGGGTACACAATGTGTAATACAGAATAAGACATAACGATTGCTCAACATACCATTGTGATAACTATTTTCGCAAAAACAAAGCCATTTGTGATCTTTGTTCGAAATTAAGTTTTGTAGAAATGAACAACTATTCCGAACGACAAAACGCGACAACATAAAATATAAACTTCTATAGACAAATTAACCAAAACTTGTGTGTGAGTAAACCGAGCCTTTTTGACCTGATAACACGACGGCTTGGAAAATTTTCGGAGTTTGCGAACGTATTTTAATGATATCCAGTCGGAAATGAAAAACTGCACCACACACTGATCCCCGTCACAGCGATTCGTGTTGTTGTAGCACAAACTCTTGGCAAAGTGACTTGCGCATGCTACTTTAACCCTTCAATTGCAGACAACAAGATCACGTTTTACTATTATGTTTATAAAAATTACCGAACAATAGCTTATCACGTTCTGATAACACTGTGTCAAATATACAATAATATTCCAAAGACAAAGTTATAAAAATCCAGCGCTTTTTCCACTGGTCGCGATTATCCTTGCATAACATAAGCGTAACCCTAATATATATATTTATTTATTTATTTATTTATCGCTCTCGACAATTTAATTTTTACCTTCCCCCTGATTTTATATTTAACCATGACAAATTCGATAAAGAAATTTTTTATCAACAGATTTTTTTCACAACCTTCTGAGCTCACTACTATCAGAATTTCGAGAATAACACTTTTAATTCTTCTCTACCTATGCATATTTATCTATTTTTGCTGGAAATCTGTTGAGCTGTCCAAAGATGAGAGAATTTATCCTATAAAGAAGACACTACGAGCCCCATTTCTGCCCCAAGTATGTAATTTTCCCTGTTAATGCATATAAATTAATATTAAACTTAATATTGGGTACCTTTCTTTTTCTCCAGTCGTCAATTTTTTTCGCTGTTGCTAACGTTACTGTCGGTTTATTATGATAATAGTATGTTGATAATAGTGATGTTATTTTTTTATCCGTTAATGTTCAATGTTAACAATGTGTGTCAATTCGATATTTTTAGCGACGGATAATTGAAATAACTATGTTAAAGCCGACAACACCTTCCAAAATGTTGGTCTTTCTTCAATTTATCCGACCTAGGGTTTGATAACCCTATAAATAATGTAGACGGACACATCTTAGCCTCGATTGTCTTGTTGGTTAATATAACGGATCCAGCGTTTACTGGCAACAACGCTGGTCTGCAAGCATGGTTTACTGATAAAGGTATGCATTAATGTATTTCCACACAAGTTACAAAAAATAATCACGATTAAAAAAACAACAACGCTTAGATACGTTGCCTGATTTGCAAGTAGCAGCCCTCAATCCACGCTTACAAGGATATGATAGTTACGCGTTTACGCCAGTGACTAGTAACTTGTACTATCTTGCTCACAACCAAGTAAGCGGATTTCAACATACATCTTGGATATATAGCTTTACTTCACTATATACTAATAACAACAATTCTCATGCAATTAGTCATACGTCTTCCTTTACGAACGCAAAATATCCAATCGTCTTAATCAAAATGTCGGAAACGTGCTTTCGGGAAACGGCGATCACAGACCTATAGCGATGTTGGACAGCATATTAGGTAGAACAACCTATTTATCGACAGAAACTGCTGATCGAACATTTTGCTTTTAGTATTGTACTCCAACCTCAACGCAAGTGTATTTATAAGACCACAATCTCACGCGGTCGAAACGGAAACTGAAAACTCGTAAGTATACACGACACGGTTAAATTGCTCGAATAAAAAACAGAGTATCGCTAATGTAATTGAAAATTTTACATATGTTAACTTTCTTAACATTAGCGGTCTCACAGTAAGTGATCTCTTCAGTGCTGTGGGTGGTCTATACGCTATTGTAATGGGAATCTATATACTTTTATATGGTACGTAAATGAATTTATTATTCTGCCTTTTTATCAACCTTTGTATGTGTTTGCTAAGCATTTATACCGACTAATTTTCATAAGCGCCGATGGAATTGGTCCAATGGGGTTGCGTTCA